TTCTCGTTCCCTTCGCCGGACGTCTTGCCAGGCAAAACTATTTTAAATTTGAAGCTTCTTTTAAAGGCAGCTATTCACGTTCTGTTGAGAGATTTCTGCTCACCTCTGTTGCTGGAAGGAAGCAAAAGGTTGGCCAGAAATCGTTGTTAGCATTAGCAAACTGTTTTGTTGTCGATGTTTGGGAATTCAGGAAAAAGGTAACTGTGACTCACTTGAAAAGGAACTGAGCAAACTCATACTGTTAATAACTCTGCCCTGCTATAGGAACAGAAATGTTTACTCATTCATTCCCATGACTAAATTTCATTGCTGATATCACAAGAAGTTAGACATCTGTAACCGCGTAGGGTTTGCAATTTGTGACCCGTAAATTCCCTTGAAGAGACGTTAGGGTTTTGTCACCCGCACTCTGGGCAACTCCTCAAAATTTTACTTGCCTGAATTTCATTTCTTTATAGAAAACGTCAGTTGATCTCTGCCATCCCACTCTGTCTTATTTAGATATTTATTTAAAGTAAGAGTACTTAAGAACCAGCTCTGTATTTGCTTATGTCTTTACCCTATTTCTGGAAGAGTGGGCATCCCAGTTTTAGGCACAGCCTCTGGATACTACTGTAATACAACTAACACGTAATTAAATAGAAAGATTATGAAATAGTCCTCATTTTCTGCTGAATAGGTAGGTGTGATCTCTTCTTCATTACTGTTGGGCTGGAAAGTGCTACACTTTCTTCCCCGTGGCATTTTGACAACCATTTCCATGTTAGAAGGAAAACGTGGGCAAAGCTGGATCCGATCCCTTTGCATCTGTGTGCAGCCTCGGCGCCTGTTTAAGAGTCTGATCTGGACAAAGCATTAGGAAACTTAACTTGTACCTGCTACTTCGTTCAGTTCGGAGGTCGTCGTTGAGCAGCACGGTTACGCCAGAAAACTGGCGAGCGACATTCTAGGTTTCGATCCAGGTTTACTCTCCAAATGACGCAAACCTTACCTCACTTAAGCCTTCTATAAATAGGAATTACAACTCCGGCATGGTGTGGAGTTTAATGAACGGATAATTATAAAGCAATGTGTGGTCTTTCATACCACTCCTAATTGAAAGGTATAATAATTATTAATCCGAATTAGTAATACTGTTGTGCAATTCTAGTGGATGACAGCTAGAACAGAATTCAGCTGCAGTAAGTAAATTTATTTTCTTGGAGTTATATTTGATTTAACTTGCTCCGTTTCAACCACACGCACAAGATGTGCAAGTGCCTCTGATGGGGAGGGGAAATCTCTTCGTCCTGTCAGCCCTCCTGCAGAAACCTGACCTGCCTTGTTAAAAATAGGATGCCACCAAAGAGGTGGGCCACTAAGATGATAATTCTTTATAAGCTCTGATCCGCACAAGTATCATCATGCTGTTTCCCCAAGAAAAGAAGTGTGACATCAGTTAGAAAAAGATGTCTGAGGGTACTAATTACCCAGACAAAAATACAAACGGACCAGATATCTTAAAACAAGGAGTGACATAATGACTTTTTTTCTTTAGCAACCTGTGTTTAGTATATGTTACGTCTTTCCTTCCCGATTCATCTCTGAGCTTCTCTTCTTTTTGTATTTAGAAGGCTTTTTTCTTATTCCGTATTTCCTCTAAAAGAAAGAAGTAGTCTTACACGCACTGCCAGGTCCTGCTGCTCGCAGAGTCAGTGCTGTTTGCTGGAAGCAGCAGCATGTACCGAGGCTCCTTAGTCACGGCTTTCTCTAGGGAGTCTCCAGATCCGAGCCGCAGAGAATGCTTCTGCATCCAAGTAACCAATTTTTGGAAATCCTGCTTGGTTTCACACTGAACATCCCCAGATAGAATTTAAATGCAAAGGATTAGTGTGAAGACACCATGTTAAAACTGAGCACTTTTATTCAAGGAATTTTAATGCAAAGCTTCCTGGTATGCATTTCTGGGAAGATGAGGAACATGTAGGCAATTTGGCTCCTCACTTATGTCAAACTGGAGCATAGAAATAAAAATTGTAATTTAGTTTTTCTGAAAGGCCTGAGTTTTGAAGTAGTAGCTCATGTGCTGAACCAAGCAGGGCATTCATAAGAACTATGCACACGAGAACAAAAAAAATTCATGTGGGCTAGGAGGAGCAGAGAGCAATTCGCATGGAAGGTTGTCACTTTATCCTTTACGGTGCAGAGTCCTTTTGGGATTGTACAATAGTTAACTAAACTAATTTATTTAATCTTAATTTTAATTCCTCAGAAGTTTTTGAAGATCATTTACAGTGTGCTAAATTTTAATATTAGTTTATTTCTTCAAGGGTTGAAAAGGGAAATGTTTTTCCAGCCTATGTTTTAGGAATGTAATTTAGTCAGACAAATTATATTTTATTTTAAAATTTTAGTCCATAACCACTTTCTTTCTCTCCTTTTTAAGACGACAAAATCAGGAAAAATAACTTAAACAATTAACTGTTGGTTCAAGATAATGTCGCTCCTTTCCAGCCCTGATCTATTTTCAGTAATTAATTTACAGCAGGGTATCTGTTAGGCATGAGAATTATCTTGGCAAGTGCATATTATGTAATATGTTCCAAATAAGTAGCTTGAATTCTGATAGTCAAGCTTCTTTCTGCAACTATTTCGGTATTACTGCTAGCAGGACGCCTGTTAGGTGTGCTATTTCCCTCTTCCAGCTTGTTCTACCCCTGCTAATGTTCTCTCATTAAATAGACTGGTTCAGAGTGTTTGAACTGAGGAGTCCTCGGTGGCAGCGGCCTTTTCTTTCCCAAGAGAGTTTTGCCTCCACAGCTCCGCGCACTCAGAATGGTTGTGTTCATCCAAATGACGTTAAGCAGTAGATTTGCACTGAAGCCCTATTTAGCAGTTATGTCATTTGGAAGACCACCCTCATTATGAGCACTGAAACACTCTACCCGTCTTGTAAAAGAAAAATGTAAGCCCGGAGCTAGTCACATGCAACTGGCCAATATGCCTGGTGAATGTGAATGGGAACAGAACCAGTATTTGATTTTGTAAGCCACCTTCAATGCTCTATTGTAATGAGGGTATTGTCAACACTTAACAATTCTACATTTCTCTGTCCTTACGGAAAGCACAGTAATATCTGTCTTGAGCTTTCCGTTCCTTGTCTGTCGTCTTCTGTCTCACAGAAGCAATAGCGTACAGTTGTCAGTCCACCACAATCATGCCTTTATTTCTAGAGGGAAAACAAAGGGCATTTTGAAAAGATGTTCTTCAGCTGGTCTGCAAGTCATTTGACTGTTGACCAAAAACTGTCCTCCTCTTATTCAATAAAAAATGAGAGTAAACAACACACTTGAAAATATCTGGATGGCCTGGATGTCTTTTATCCTGCAAGCCAGGAAATCATAGGTTGAAATCCTGGGAAGGTCTATAATTTGTATTTGTAATCAGAAAAAGCCATTCAAATTTGGGAACGAGGGAGGAAAGATCATTAATTATTTTGAAATATGTCTCTGTTTACTGTAGGGTACCGAGTGCCTTGAACAAACAGTAACTATCTGTTGCTGAAGATCCTGACAACTTTTTTTTTCTTTTTTTTAAATTAAGATGAAGGTTCTGATTGACTTCTTAAGTGACTCTGAAGTTCAAATTTTTGTGGGAAATGTTTTCTCGCAGGCAATAAAAGGTGATTTAAAGGCTGATGTTTCTTAAATTTCCTTCTGGGTTTCTTTTCTTCGGTTAGCTGGATAAATTTAAAAAATATATCTCTGAAGTCAAAATTATGAAAGCCGCAACTGAGTACACTGTAACTACAGGATCATATCTCTAGTGACTCATTCTAAAATGCCGGCCTTCCTTCAAATCCTGTGAACTCTGTCACACCGAAAGCTTCTTGTCGTTTTCCTTCCAGGAACAATTTTAATCTTAAAATGCAAAACTCACTAGGGAATTCCCAAATGAAAGCTATTTTCTGAGCAAATGAGGCTGAGAGGATTGCTGCTCCCAGTGCAGTATATTTTGAGATTCCCAGTACAAGCTCTGAATTTGTTCCATATCTACAACTCGATCAGTGTTAACTGGAGTTCTCCACAACGTGACAGGTTTGGGTGGGACAGTGTTTCCCAGCACGAGTGAAGTTCACCTGTTTTTTGAGGTTCGGCAGAAGCTGATGCCTGAATGCCATTAACGCAGAATCAAACCTTACATGCCATATAAATGTGACGTGGGTGTTGTGCCAGTCCTTTACAAGGGGGAGGAAATACTGTATTTCTTCATCCGTTAAAATACTCCACTCGTCTGCAGTGACTCCTAAACTTTGAAATGAAGTGCTGCAGCTGCTGCAGTAATTCTAGCTAGATTGAAACCTGCAAGTCACCAAGCCGTCTGGCAAATGCGACATGAGGTATATTAACTCAATTTGTGCCTTCTTTTGACATTGTAAAATTACAGGTTACATAAATGGTTTTGTGAAGCCCAGGTTAAACCTGTCTCCTGTGCACTTTTACTTAGGTTGCTGCCCTGACACAGCGCTTAGAGCAGTTCTGTCTAGCAGCTGATGAACAGTGAAAGTGGGGGAAGTTTAGTGTTAGATATCTGCCAATGATAGATTGTGTAGAGTAACCTATCTGTTGTAATCTGTTATGATCTATCACCCTTAGAGTATTTGGGTGTTAGTTCTGCAGTTGTACAGCTTAAAATTGATGCATAAATAAAAGCACAAATAATAGGTTCCCACTTGCAAATTTACAGAGATGGATTTGGACACTAAATCATTCCATTGCAGAAAAAGGGCTACTTTGAAGCCGCACGGCAGTTGTGAATTGCCCTCTTCTCCTGTTTCTCCCTACTGTTCTTATAAATATCACTAAGTGCAACTTCACAATACAACTAGTTTCATCCACTCCAACTGGCAAGTGGACTTCACATCTTGTTTTATCTTTCAGCACTGTGGCTTGATGCTTTACTGCTTTGTTATTGGTCATCTGTAATCCCATACAAATCAGCCATGTGTTTTGTATTGACAGTGCGAGAAGCAAAAAACCTAATTCCCATGGATCCAAATGGACTTTCAGATCCGTATGTTAAACTGAAACTCATCCCAGATCCCAAGAATGAAAGTAAACAAAAAACAAAAACCATCCGTTCTACTCTGAATCCACACTGGAATGAGTCGTTTACGTTGTAAGTCTGGCCAACCCCTTTTTCTGTAACACGTTTTATGTATGGAATGATGTATTTGAATTTTGCATTGAAAACTCCTCTGTTTCTCCCCCCTTTTTTTTTTAGTAAATTAAAACCTACAGACAAAGATCGACGGTTATCTGTAGAGGTCTGGGACTGGGATCGAACAACCAGAAACGATTTCATGGGATCTCTTTCATTTGGGGTATCAGAGCTTATGAAAATGCCAGCCAGTGGATGGTAAGAATTTCTGAAAAGAGACAGGGAGGAAATATGTCACACAAAGATTAAGTTCAAAACCAGTATTTTCTTGACTATAGCCTACTTGTTTGTAGCTTTTTCCTATACCTCATACGCTATAAATTCACTGAAGATGCAACTAAAACTGGAAAACATGGAGTATAAGTAACAAAGAGGGTTGTGCTTCCTTTTGTCGTGTACATGAAACTTCTGCTACAGCCAGGAGTTGCTGCAAGCTCCATTCTATTTGCATAGTCTTGCGATATGAATTTTCTTTGGATCTTGAATATGATACTTTAAGTACTAAGCATATCACGTTACGTATGTAAATTCAAAGTGCAGAGGAACTGATTTGATAAAATGCTATCTTATTACATGCTCTGCATGTAATTATACTGTTACATCCCAAGCCGGGGGTAGAACTTGCCACCGTCCCCAAAAGTGCATGTCTTATTGAAGGTAATCACCTAGGGCTTCATAGGCACCTCCAGGGTTGACTCCTCCATCACGTCCTAGAATGGGTGGGATGAATATTTCCCTTTCCATTAACTGCAAAAGGTGCCTGGACAAACAGTTGAGATTAAAGATCTAATTTGAGGTGCGTGCGATATGTTCTATTTTCAAGTTTGCTACCGATCTTTGAGAACAGTTCTTTACATACCTGTGACATTCATACAAACCACAGAAGCAACTAAATCAGATTTTAAACCTAAAGGGAATAAACCTGAAAAGACACTATTTTCCCCAAATGTTCCACAGGTACAAGCTGCTGAATCAAGAAGAAGGTGAATATTACAACGTTCCAATTCCAGATGCTGATGAAGATGGAAATGCTGAGCTCAGACAGAAGTTTGAGGTGAGGCTTAAACATCAATGAGTACAACTATGTATGGCATACGTTTTTCCTTTTATTATATAAAAATGGCTATTAAAAAGTTCTGTATTAGAGAGAGATTACTTCTTGTTGCCTGTGACTGTAGTATGTTCCTTTTGGTTTCTTGAAGATTGAACCAAGCGGTTTAATTCAGTGGTGGTATCATATATTTGACAGTTCAGCTTTTCTGGGTTATAACACTCAAAAGTTGGTATTGTAGAATATTTTCTGTCAGGTATATGTAATAATTTCAGTATGTTTTTTGACACTTAGGGCAAAATCTGTCAGCCATTATCATTAGTATCGCTAAGGAAAAATGAAGTTCTCAGAAATAGCAGCATTTTAATACTTAAAATATTTATTTCAAACTGAACAGAATTTTTTAGGGAAACTAATTATCTGCTGATTATTTGCAAGCGTAAAATTTTTGTAGAAGGTTGTTACCTGAAATTCTGAAATCTGTAATCCGGGTACAGAAGTTTCAGGATAAGTGGTATTGCTGGTTATGTGCAGAAAAGAAACACTGAAGAAAAACAGTACTTTCAGCAGAGTCTTCTTGCCTTCTCTGACACAAATTGGAGTGGTTGGTAGTCACAAGCACGGGCTCGAACCGTGCAAGGAATTGTGACTTAACGAACCGACTTAGCCAGCAACTCTGCCTCTTCTGACAACTGCAGACGGTATTACAGCAGAATACTTGCTTTCCATTAAATCCAGCAGCAAGAAAGGTATGGCTTGGAGGAGTTTTGCTAATGGCTCCACTGGGTTCAGCACTTTTGAGTTGAGTATTCTTTCCAGCTGCATTTGCAGTATTGAAATTGAATTAGAAATATTCCAATCTACAATGTCGTGTTTTCTTTTTCCTAGTCAAACATTTGCAACTTTAGCCTAGCTGTTTATTCAGAAAGTAATTAATGTACCTGTTGTGCATATACAAACACGTAAGCCTGTTCCTTTCAACCTGAAATGGCAATTCTTTATGTTCACCATCAGGCAGAATTCTACATTGTTATTATAAAAGATGGGTTAACCCAAGAAAGTGAGGAAAAACGGCATATGTTCAACTTTCAAGAAGGAAAAAGAAAAGGTGCATCAATTTCTTCTGAACACATTTGGATCAGCTACCATACTTTTGTCTGCAGCATGAACTATGGTTTTTGTTATACATTTGAGAAGTATCTCCATTTCATTTTCCTTTCTTTACAGTTGTGATCTGACCAGTGTGATTTTATTTTGCTGCACTAGGTCATTTTCTATTCAAGGTCATGCTTACTTTTTATCCACCCTAGTATGGATAACTTTAAAAGTAATTTTTTTCACTCCTTACGTATCTCTGTGCAAAGTACAGAGTTTGGAATTGGGTGGCTGTGTATATGTTAGTGTTAGTAACCTAGCTACGGAAATCTGGCTATTTTTTCTCAGGACAGAGACAGCACAAAGACAAGTGGCAAAATAAAAGGAAAAAGTGCACATCCGTTATTGTGTGTGCTAATGTCCCAGCTGGAAGAAGCCCGTATTCCTTTGCGTCATGATCACCTACCTGCAAATCAGCTGTGCTGGGACTTGGTATAATGCCACTGTGGTTTAAAAAGAACTGGGTAATAAGTAGATATTTCCGAAGTTACAGTTCAAACAAGAGAAGAAGACCTGACCTTAAATCAGAATTATTTGGTGAACATATCCTTAGCACGTATCTTTTTAAACGTTATTTTCTTTACATTTTATCTGTTTCTCAGACTAGGGTATTTATCACTAGAAGTATCTGTTTTAAAGTGTCCATAATTACAGGCAGTATGTTTGCATATTGAATCTATAATCTCTTTATTTTTATCCTGAACCTCCTGTAAACACACAAGTTGCAGAATTAGTAGGATTTATCCATGTTCCGCAATGAAAAGTGGTGTAGGAATCCTGAGGGGTTGCATCATGTAAAGCTACTGGATAGGGTCCCAGAAACAGCAGTTTCACGTAGGGTCAGTTCAGCCCTGTCTCAAAAATAAATAAGTCTGTCTCACAATCTAATTAGTTCAGCTTCAGCACTGTGCATTTGAGGCTTTGCAGCTTACTCTTCTGAAGGTAGCGTGGTTGGTGCTAGCCAACAAATGGGACCAAATTTGGAAAAGGGAGAGAGGCGTTAGAAGAGGACCGTGGTTTCATTAATGGAATCATGCAGTGACCTTGCTAAATTTTTTTCAGTTTTTACTGTAAGGAGTTGTCTTTCAAAAGTCATGGTTTAGCCGTGGTTTTTGTATTGTGACAGTATATACCGTCTATACATTGTCTGTATAGTGTTGTGCACTATATATAAAATAAGGTATATTATTGATTGGTGTAGCGGAGTATTTTCCATACAGCAGGTATCCACTTAATCTTAATAAATCTACATATATGGGGGAGGGGGGGGAAACTCGCCTGTCACTAAAAGTTATGAGCCGGAAATGAGTTATCTGCTCTCTTAGCAGCATAATCAGGTTTCCATTCAGTGATTTATAGATGACACATCATTATTAGTATTTAGAGATAAAAATACACTCCTCTAGGAAGCGGAGGCAGGATAAAATCTGTCACTGTTTTTCATTTTGTTTTAACCTTTGGTTGTGAGTTTTCTCTCTGGAATGGCATTATTTGTGGCCATTGCGAAATGAAGCTCCTTCCTCTGCAGGCGTATTCAGAATAATTGTAGCTGCTTCTTAATTGTTGGTGCCCAGGCTGCCATGGCAACGCGTGACGGTGTTGTCCCCGGTGCCTCTACCAACACCAACTAGCAAGCCTTTAAACTACCGTATGTAGTATTTGTTACATGCGTGTTTGCCTGTTACAGTATTTTGCTGCTCAGAGGAAAAAGCAGAATAGGTATTTAACCAGTGCAACCCTATTCCATTTATGATATCTGCTTATAATTTGAGCAGTGATATATTTGTGACATTGTTTTGTTGTCTATTTGGGAAAACGAAACATGCAAATTCTAAAACTTCTATTGTAGGAGTCTTATTTCAGTTTTTTTCAAGCCCAGTTTCTTGTAATGGTTTGTGCCGCTTAATAAAGCGCTTTCTGATACTTGTAATATCACCTTACAATAATGATGAATAATACTAAGTTTAAAAATGTAAGGCTTATTCATGTCTGCCCCCTTCTTCCCATTTCACCACCACAGGGAATGTTGCTAAATATAAAGCAGATGTCATGGCCCATATCACTGATATTTTAAATTAAAAAATACACAGTAACTGTAATCCTTACGTGTGGATACGTTCACCAAGTGCAAGGCCTATTAAGGGATGTACCTTTGTGTAATAAGGGTAAGCGATCAGAGTCTCTGCAGTAAGCTTTCGTAACTGAGGTGATCCAAACAAATAAAAGTCATTAAGAGGGAATAGGTACTGCTCATATAATCTTCATTTTAAGGCGTCTGTGTGGACGGTACGTAACAGTCCCTCTGTTTTCTTTTTTTCCTAGTAGAACAAAAGAAGAGTAGAGTAGAGCATAAGTAAGAACAGAAGTAGAACAAAATCATTCCCCAATTTCCCTGGACGGGTCTCAGCGTTGTGTCCCTTAGGCCACGCGGCAGCCGGCCCTCTTTGCTGGGGAACAAATGCTCAAATATCCATGAACGGCTGGACATTTCAGCTGGGCGAAATACCTGTAATCTGTTGCTCACGATCTTCTCTGTAAGGGTTGAGGCACGTTGTGGGAGATGTGGAGCTGTTTGCTGCCGTTGCTGCCTATCATGCCCCGACCATAGATGAACAGAGGACTTGGCTTCTCACGCCTCTTAGTTTGGTACCGTTCCATTTAATTAAGGGAATAACAGTAACATCGCTCTGCAATTATAGGACAAAATTATTCTAATAAGTCCTTTTTCTGCAAAATAGTTACTGGTCAGTGCTAGGAAAAGCAGATACCATTTTTGTCTGCTTGTCCACACTGAGGGCCGGGTCCATAGTACCATGGGGAGGAGGTCGTACTGGTTGTGTGCTGTCTTTCTGGTTTCCCCTTTCTAGGATTAATTCAGGTGTTGGATAAACCAGCCAAGAGGAGCTCTTGTTTATTATTGTCCCCTTGCCTTCTGGGCTGTTCTTGCTGCCAAGAGGTACACCAGCAGCGGAGTGAAGCAAGCGCCCCGGCTTGGCGCTCTTCGCGCAGGGCTTGCCCCCTCGTCGGGCTCGACACCTGGTGTGCTGCTGGAATTACTGCCGAACGCTACCGAAAAGCTAGACCTGTGGTTTCTTTTCTTTTTTTTTTTTTTTTTCCCCAGACTAAGCAGATTAAAAATAAGGAAATAGAGTTCAGAACAGGGGAGATTTTGTATGAGAAAACTGGAAATGTAGAGTGAGTGGTGACATTTTGGTTAAGTACTTATGACATCTTAGTGTTTCTAAACATAACCCTTATTATTATTCTAAAGAAAATGTCTTTTAAAACATCTCACCATTTTAATTGTAAGAGCGGGGACAACGTGGTGCTTGGCCTTCCAGCTTGGTTATAAATAACCTTGAACCTCTCCAGCGACGCGGGAGCTGCAGACGTTTCTGTCGATGTGATGCTAAACTCCTGCAGAAGGCAGGGCAGCGTTTTGCTTGACCAGACTTGTGTGATAATCCTAGAGTAAGCGTCAGCGTGCAGACATGAAGTGATGAATAAGTAGCGTATGAATCTGCATATAGATCTGTGGCATGCAGCGCTAATGCTTATTTACACCATCAGGCCTGTCTTTATGGCAGTCCAGCTGGTGTTGAGTGGTGTTTGAAAATTTCTACAGATTTTCAGCCACAATTAAAGCTATCTGGTCAGTTTTAGTGTTGTTATGTTTTACTGCTAAAGAAACCTCATTCATGTATTTATGATTCCCTTTCTAAACATCAGTAAAACATTTCAGTTTGTTTCACAGCAGTTACTGCACTCCCTTTACTTTTATTTTTTTAAGCAGTTTCTGTCTGCCCTATTAAAAAGAAGGCCGGTACTTTCTGCACTGATCTGGCGCT